TCCGAAAATCACCTTCTTGATTCAATGCTTACCTTTCCCGGCAACGGCGCCAAAGATTGCTTGGTTGTTTCCGTTGTAGCATATCTTAACTTTTGAACATCATCCCTTAATGCATATAGTCTATGTGTGGAGGCGAGTGTCACTCTCCATTGGAATGATGTCAAAAGAAAGGGCAACGGAATGATGAGTGAATGAAATGTATGAAATGTGTTTGTGAAAAAGAATCTAGCTTCTAGTTATGATAGTTTGAAGGAAACCTAGTAATGAACTTGCCCGACCTCGGGGCAAAACGATACCACTCCTGATGAGGGTTGGAGTTCTCCAAGAATATATACGTGGCCATGAACTCCTTAAAAGGAGGGGGGCATCACTACCAAAAACTAGCCGCCATAGTGAAAAGAACGCTAGGATTAACCTCCACCCGTTGGGGGCCAACTTCACAGGTGTCAGTGACATATGTCCCAGGACTCGACATATAGTCCCAAGTATCGGGAACCTCAAGCCCGCCTCTAACACATCCTTATAAAGGACAATCTCGCCCGAGGAGTCAGAACATGATGGCTCGTCTTCCTCTACACGACGACACATTATAGTGGGGGAGATGCGATACGAAGATACAATACTAGTGATATCCTCGTCCTAGTCAATAGAGCTGAATATGGAAGTCACCTTTGAGCTACTATCTCCAGCTATCCCATTGCCTCGCCCACTATATGGAGTATCTTCCCCCTGTTCGTCAAAATGGGTGTCTACCAGCAAACAAAACCATGCGAGAATCAAAATTAGTGTCAAGGGAATACTAATATCTATTGAGCTAGATGATGGGAGATTTCCTGGGGCTTAGTCCATAGAGCGAAAGCTTGTTGTAATTTGTCGTCACAACATACTAGCTCGTCTCGTCTTCCTTTGACGTCACCCAAATCCCCAAGGTGGGTGCCACCCTCTTTTCCCTCAGTCTCAACGCTGCCTCCTCTCTCCCTCACACTAGTGCCGCCTGCCTCGATACCTAGGGTGCCACCTACCTTAGTGCCTAGGGCACCGCCTGCCTTAGTGCCAAGGGTTCCTTCTATCCTTTTTTATCCCCTAGTGGCTGGCTGGCACTACCTAGCAGCCCATTGGCGCTGCCTACCTCTGTGCCTAGGGCGCCTCCCATCTTTCCCTCTCCTTTGCAAACGCCGCTGAGGGGCCTCCTTGTGTGAACTTTGAAATCTCCAGCTCGCTTGGCATTTTTCTGATCTGCCATGGTTGCCTCCTTAACCCGCTGAACTACCTCTTGGCCCCCCTACTCTTCTCCATTAATAGATCCACTTTAGAATTACTTTCTATACAACTTCTCTCCTAAACCAACCTTCAATGGAAGATCTAAGGTCTCAAGGAAATGGGTTACAGAGAAGGAGGACTGAAATGGGTTTATCAATGCTGAACTTTTGAAACCCTATGGAGAATACCCTAAATGAGGAAAAGGGAGTTTTTTTTCATGATTTTTAGGCCTTGGGTAGAGAGAACATACTCTAGAAAGGTCCTAGAAGATGAAGCCTAGGTGAAAGGAAGTTTTTTAAGGGGATTCAACATAGAGAGCACTCGATATGGTGGTACAAAATGGGGAAAGAATTTTAACAGACAAAAATGGGAAGCCAAATAAGCTATACCGTGGGGGACAAGAAATGAGAGCTCACTCATGCACTCAAAATCTTTGACACAACAAGAATTTAGGGCATTAGAGACAAATGATGAGCCCAGATCTAATTGGGTCAAACCCAATAAATCAAGCAAGCATAGATCCATTAGAAATGTAGGCCAAGTCTAGTTCATCAATCTGACTCAGTCTAAGATTCAAGGAGCCTAGGAAGATAAGAGTACGTGAGAGAGAGATTATCGGGATACCCACTCTCGAAGATCAAAGCTATCTTAATTATACTTACCTTTTGTAACTATCTTCCCCGAAAAATTAGTACCCTCACACTCATATCACCGCCTCACCATGCCTATAAATTATAAGTTCTCTCCATTGAGAGGGGCATCTCACTATACATTGAGCTTTGACTCTACACCTCTCTGCACACACTTTCTCTCTCCTAACTATTGTAACTCTCCCGAAGCTAACCATTGCTCTCACCCCCGTTCACCTAACTTCATCAATAAAAACCCCCCGACCACCGTTCTCGTTTCTCAAAATAGAGTAGGTCATCCGGACCGTACCACTATATCTCTGTATGTTGACTCAATATTTACATTACTGCTATTGATTGCTTATTTATTGTCCATTAATTACACCTTATCACACACTCAACTGTTGATCTTGCATGAGACTATTTTGATCATCATCAGATATGAACAATTTCATTCTTGATTTTCAAGTAGGATTGACTGTTATACTATTTCTATACTTTCGGTTCCCTCTCCCTAAAAACTTGTTTTGTATTTGAACAATTCACTCCATCTTAGTGTAACTTTCTGCCTCTCACACTATGTGTGTGTGTGAAAATTCCTAGGATTTTTTCTCACGTACACAAATCTCACCATGTCGTGAACAACATATCTATGGGGTTCATTTCAAATCTTAAATTATTTCGTTAAGATCTATGAGTTTATTTATGTTTCCTGTTTGTGATTTTATATTGATTTCAGATTTATGAGTTTGATTTCAAATCAGATCAGGTCTATTTGGTTATTTTCTGATCTATGAGTTTATTTCAACATCTATGAGTTTAATTTCACACATAAACACCAGTCATCCATTCACATTCCATGGGCACGAGATTGAGAGGTGTTACCATTAGTTCATTATATACCCTTTATATTGTTGGTTTCAATTCTCAATTCAGTTTTCTCTTGAATAGACTGACATATTTTTTCATTTTTGTTGTATTGTTTGGTAGTATTAGGTGCTTGGAGCATTTGTATACTTGGTCTATCTATTTGGCATTATATGCATCTTATTTTAGGATGGATTTTTCAATTTTCCAATCCAAAGATTGACATGTCATTGGATTTTGACCCATTCGTGGATTGTATGTCAAAATTTGCTTGGAATCCAATTATCCAATTGGAACATCTTTGTGGTCCACTATGCTTTAATAAATAGTAGGTCAAAACCCTTCTATTATATTTTTTTCTTTTATGTGCTCGAATGAATAGTTTTCTCGACATAGTAAAGTATCTATACAAGTTGTTTGGTCAATTATGGGTTATTTTTCATTAACCTTCCAAAAATGGTACACTGGAGATGACATGCCACAAATTTTAGAATTTTTCATAGTTTACAATGCACACTAGCATACATTAATTTAAATGTGGTATGTTTAATTTATATTTTGTACATTTTATCTCGTACAATTTGAAGTCCATTTAAATTAACTGTGTAATTAACTATTATTTTATTTAAATGGACTTGAGAAGGTTGTTAATATTTATTGTTTTTGACACAAGATTGTTGGGGGGGGGGGGTTTGAAGAGAGATTAAGGAGGAAATTTGTTAGATTATTTTATTTTGATGGCAGTAATTAACTATAAATTTGATGTACTAAGTTATTCAAGCATAATTTTTTTTTTGTGTGCAAGGTTTCAATAAATTTCAATTTTGTTTGGGGATATATGAATCAGTATATCATGTATATGATAGGTAGAACTTTGAATCTAAGTATAGAAATAAAAAGAAATTGTGGAGAATTGAAAATTCATATAATGAAGCATTTTTGCAACGAGAAAAATTTGACGCTATAAGTATTGTCTATCTTTTAGCAATGAAATCTTATTGTTGTCAAGCCGATTTAGTTTATTTTTCATTTCTTCTGCAATCAAACTACTATTATCGAAAATGCTTCGGCAACACTCCCTTCTCTTCAAATGATTTACTCATGTTTGCTTTTCAAATTTTAATGTATCTGCATGCCAATGAAATTTGTGTGTAGATTGTATACAGTGAGACAAAGAAAGAAAAAATTTAAGATTTTTTAATTAATGTCGTCTCGATATATCACATAATGGAGAATCACAATGAATTGCACAAGAGAGAGATTCTCCATAAAAAATTTTGAGCAATGCTATATAACTCAAATTTGAAATCCCAAATCAATAAGGACCATTGGATGAGTGGGATGCCATTTGGGATTCAAAGTTGGGTTTCATAGCATTTTCCAAAAAATTTGTAGTTTGATATTAACTTTTATTTTTGCCTTTGATCTTGATCAATTACTCTTGCCTTTTCAGCGGTCTTCCTCACCTAAGGCTTTCCCCATCAGTGGGATAACATCTACATTCATATGTATATGACAATCTTACACATGCTATAATCCAAATGGGAAAGAAAAAAAAGAAATATGTACATGAGGTGCCAAAGGACACTTGCGTATTGGTTTTCCTCTACTAAACACACTTTACGGAAAGTGTTTATATATTTTTTGATTTGTAAATTAATTTGTCATTTATTTTCATCATTTAAATTTTTGAATCGATTTGTATCACACAATAGAAATTACATTTGCAAATACCTAGTCAACATTCTACGTAATTAACAATAAGAAAATAGAAATTAAATCAACAACTTAAATTGATTCATATGCAACGCATGTGTGCAACAAACTAGTTTATTCAAATGAGGCCATAGATTTATACAAACTAGTGCTAGCTAGGTCTCTTCTCTCCTCTCTACATATGATATTATGTGGTATCTTGTGATGTGCACACTTCAAACAGAGTAGCCTAGGCCCATTGTGTGAGACAAATTTGATGGAGTTCTACACAATGTCCTCGAATACTTCAAGATAGAAGCTTATTCAATTAAAATGAACAAGTATAAAAGTGATACAATGATACATTTGTGCATAAATGTCTGCTGTCCAATTCAGTCAATCTATTTCTTATCTGGTGAGCTGTGACAAGCCATCTTCAAGGGAATGGGTGGATCGGAAAAAGCTCCGGTGGAGATTTTCTCGAAGATTATCTTGTTTGCTGCCTCGGTGTAGTGAACTCCATCCCAATCTATGCGAGTCGATGGATTTTTACATGCACCAACGAATATTTGGCTGCCATTGACCGGTTGTTCCACAGTCGCCATCGTCATAGTTATACTCGCCCCCAAGGCCACAACAAGTTACAAGAGGAAGCTCAAATCCTACACATTTTGATAAAAAAATGTTAAGTGAAATGCTCATATTTTCTTGTGTAAACTTATGAATGTTGGGGGAACAAAAAATTTAGGGTGAATATCATAAATGATTCTTGAATTATGATTGGAGCTTTAAAATGCTCTTTGATTTTCAACTATTCCAATTTTACCCTTAAACTTTTAAAATCGTCTTATTCAGTCTTTTTTGTCCATTTCAGACATCAAAACATACGATTTTTCCGCTTGAGAATCATGTACTATTGTTAGTACCAGACTAATGATAGAAAGTCTCCTAGGTCAAATAATCGCTCATTCTCGCATCAAAACAAGATCAAGTCGTCATGTAAGAGAATGAGCGATTATCTAGTTATTGAAAACTTTATAATTTATATCTCATTTTTGCCCTTAACCATTGCACATAATTCTCAAGTGAGAAAAAAAAAATCATCTTTTTGATTCCTAAAATAGGCGAAAGGGACCGGTTGAAATGCTCTCGAAGTTCAAGGACTTAATTAAAGTAGCTAAAAAGGGAGAGGCACCCAAAATTCTATCATGGGGCATACCGTATTTTTCGCGTTCAAGAAAGAGAGAGTACTTGGCTGAGTAGATATCTACATATGTGATCGCAGCAAGTGGAAGGTCCTTCCTGAGTTGAACAATGGCCTCCTTCAACTTGTAGTTGAAGTATTGAGCTATCTCATTATAACCCTTTCCACAACCAGCACTGTCCATCTGATCAGCTTATGGTGGAAAATTTGCAAAAATATATGCCAGGCAACCAATTGGTCCAGTGTTGTGGATCCAAAATGTTCTAGCTCGCAATCCATATATGTTCTGCATCACCAAAATTCACAACTTCATAACCACAACGGTTCAAGGAGCATGCAGTTAGCTTGTGTCTATGGTGTTAATAAATCTGAGCTTCTCGAGTGTGGGTGTGCTCAAGCTCGAATTGAGCTCAACTATTGAACTAAGATTTTTACTCAAACTCGGCTCAAAAGAACTATGAAAATTTGTGTCAAACTCAAACCGAAACTGGGCATAATTTCTCAGAAAAAAATTTACAAAAATTAAACCTTCTAATTTAATAATCCATTCCATAATAATCTCTTTATTTATTAAAAAAAAATCTCAAAATCTTTATAATCAACCATAAAGAATCTCTTGGATAAGAGAGTGAGGGAGATGTGTATTTGATATGAAAACATTTGAACTTTGAAGATACCTTTGTGTTTGTTCATCTTTCCAATAGTGTTTATTTGGTAATAAAATTATAATTATTAAATTATTTATTTAAAGAGGGAACAATTTTGAGCCTAGAGTCTACACAAGCCGAGCCCCACATTACTCAAATTCGGAGCTAAAATACTTGATCAAAGTCAATTTATTTAGTTGTTGAACGAGTTAAAACTAAGTTGATTTTGAGTGCGAACTCGAACTACTTGGATTATTTAACAGATTTGCTTATGGGGCCCCTCTGTTATAAGGATTACCTTCACGTTGGTGGAGAAGCTGTTGACTATATCTGGGACAGATGCATTACCTCCTCTATAGACCTGTTGCTGAAGAACCCTTGACCAAGATCATTCTGACCAATATCCATGGTCAGGGGTGTCCTGATCAGTTTATAGACAACCTCGATTAATTCACTCTCCGATCTTGTAAAAAACAGGACATCCATGCTGAAACTAAAACCTCATAACTTAACCCAAAGAAAGTTGTCAAGTTTATGAACTGACCTTGTTTTTTAAGGATCTGTGATCGGTATATGAATTGCTTGAACTGCCAGTACTACACATCGAGGTAAAAGGGACTGAATATACCCACCGGAATGATAGTTTCCGGTGGTCGGATTGTTGCTCCCGCCGAGGCAAAATTGGCACCATTGGTGAAGTTCGCCCCCAAGGAGTTGAGATAAGCGCTGGGAAATGGCAGACCCAAACTTTTTGCTGCACAAACATGCAGTCTAGACTTCAAAAACTTGAAAAGATATCGTCTGCTAATTTTTGTTGTAAAAAAGCAATTACATCAAAAAATCAAAAAACTTATTGGATTATTTTTATTAAACAAAGATTTATTTCTCTTAATTTATAAATAATACCCTTCTATTTGTGTATATCTATAATACTATATATGTCTTTAAGCTTGGAGAAAAAAAAAAAAAAAGCACTAAAAATTAGAATGATTATATTGTCAGGCCTGAATCACTGAATATCCTTGTTTATGTTTCTTTTATCATAACCTATTCATTAGAGACATGATGGAATTCACAGATATCTAACATTATCCACATAGCTTAGACAAGCGAAGATGATTGTCAGTAGAGATGATTTTTGTCTTATTACTCAATCCTAGAAATATGGGTGAGGTCAATCTGCAAAACTTTTGAAGAATAATAAATCAAAAATAGTTCATTTGGCAATTGGTACGTTCGTAAATATAAAATACAATATGTCGAATTACATACATTTTTTATGTTTCGTTTTCTCTTAATGTTGTTACCATCAATCTCTCTCATACCTTAAAATTTTTTAACGTCCAGGTGCACATATAATATGTGATGGATAATGCTCACCTTCTTGGTGTAAGAATGATGTCCATAGAGTTTTATGAACCTACCATAAGTACGGATGCTTTCACCAAAAGGACTATATGGATATTACAATGGAAAATAAATAGTTATACATACCGATGAAATCAATGATGAGCCGTCCATCAGAAAATCTCCCGACTGGTTTATGGAAGAAGGTTTCCCCATAAGGTGGTGGAGTCCAATTAAAAGCAGCAGCCAGTGCACCGGTATCCGAATTCGAATCACCGAGATTAAAGATAGCTGGAAAATCACATTCTTTTGATGCATAGGTAGGCTTCAAGATGGTAACATAAGAGAGAAACATGAAGAAGCAAGAGAGAGAAATAGTAGATTTGAACATTCTTAAAGACTCCATGATGGAAGAAGGGAGAGAAAGAGAAAATAAAGACTGTGTTGAGATTAGAAGGCCGAGGAAGAAAGTTCTGCTTATAGAGTGTGTCAAAGGCAGACTTTTCAATTGTTAAGTTGATAAGAAAATTCGCTTGTTCATCCATTATAGTGATGTTAGCATCAGGAATCTAAAAACCGTACTACACATTGATCTGATAATAGCTGAGTCATATTGACATTATCTACTTGTAGCCCCCTTGAAAGGAGATGTCTCATGCTAGAGTGTTATCACGGAATTATTAACATGTTTTTTTTTTTTAGAGGGGAGGGAGAACTTGAACCCCTGATCTCAAAAAGACAAAATCTTCATAACGTAAGGAGTATCATTGAACCAAAAATCCGTTGGTAAAAACACAAAAGCAAAAACACAGAGAAATTATTAACATGTGATATCACCAACTAATACTAAAATAAAAAATAATTAGTTAAACCCTACTAATATTTCAACATCATAGTTATTAGATAATGTGATCATTGATAATTATTAAAATAATGAAACTGGCAAAGTCCACGTGTTATTTAATAACTGATTGATAATACCACGTAATATTGATGACGTGGTATTATCGTTATATGAAATATTTTCTCATCCCATTCAGAATAAATAAGCACAATGTTGCACAAGGCCAAAAAAAAAAAAAAAATGGCAGCAGGAATCATTCCAACCTTGCATACAATCCATCACTCATGTGGATTACAATTGGATTTTTTGCAAGTAGAAGAATGCTCGAGTTTATGTTGTCCTTTAGTCGGCCAGTATACCATTTCGTGCATGTACAGAAAATTTTATTTTCACAATTATACCCCAGGAAAAAAATGTTCTAACTTGCAAAGTTAGGCAAGTGATATGAAGTTAATTTTTGGGACACTTGTACACCCAAAAGTCTTGGTCTGAGTGTGGTCAGCGTTACCTAAATTTAATGGACATAGACTATGGTACGAACAAAAAAATTAGTATTGCACCTCCAAATTTATTATTTATCATATTTGTAGGTGTTTTTACTGTAATTGTGGTAAATTTTTATCCTTTTTTTTTGGTATAAAAAAATTATCACTTTTGTTAGTGTTTTTATTACTGTTGTAGGTGTTTTTATCATTGTTATGATAACTATTTTTCTATGGTACTACAACAATGATATAAACACCAATAATAGTGATAAAAATATCCATAAATATGATAAATATTAACACAGTACCATTTTTTTTAGAGTACCGTAGACATCTCCAAACTTAATTGATACCATAAGTTTTCAAATAATTACAGGTGTTGGTGATTTCCTTTCACAATAGTAGATTCAAAAGACCATGCCTAACTCTTAGGGTGGTCCAGTAATTGGGCATGTCCTTTAATAATTCAGCGATTTCAAATTTAATTATTTTCTATACACCCTTAAGAGCTAGTCACCCTTATCCTTTTAAAAACATGCACTAAACCAGCTAAAACCACAATAGTCAGCTATTAAGCTCGAGGAAGTAGTCGCCGTAAACCTAGACACCCTGTAGGACTTTGTCATAAATTGATTTCTAATCATAAAAAAAAATAAATTGTTTTATTGTAAGACATTGTTTTAAGACATGAAGCTATATATCTCACCATCAACAATGAACGCTCTTATGTACAGTCGGCAATTACTTTACACAAAATTTGTTTAGTTCGTCACTGATGAATAATGGAAGCTTGAATTTTCATAATTTTCCGTGGGCGGCGTACTCTAAACCATGAACAAAAAGAGAAGACAAAACGGAAAGATGAAGAAGAAAAGAGGATAACATTTGGGTATGAAGTCAAGAATAAGCAATTTGTCAATGTGCAAATTCAAGAATATCTCCCAATGGGGTTGAGATTACATCATCATTTTAGAATCCTATCGAAATTCATTTATGATTATTGATGGGTTCATTTTTCAATTCACGAATTTGGCTAATTCACACTTTTACTTATATGCTTACTCATTCATTATTATTCAAATTTTTATTTGATATATGTCGACCCATACTTAAAGATACATATAAACCTAGAATGATGTTTATAGGAGTTAATTATAAATTATGCCCTTCATGTTTGATTCATGTGTAATGAACTCCCTTTGATTACATTTTTAACAAATTGCCCTCTTAAAGTTTTCTCTAAACAAAATAAACAAATTGGAGGATGAAAAAGGCAAATCACTAATCATCATTTCCTTCTGTCACTGCATACCTAACTTCGAGACCACCAGTCCATCCACTCTCCATCTCTCCATTACCACTGTGCAATTTTACCCCACGATCCACCCCGACCTGAGTTGCCAACCCTCTCAACCTCCCCACAAAACTCAACTCGCATAGAGCCCAAATGAAAGGGTAATTTCATCTTTAAATGGGATTTTAGAGCAAATGAATTTTACTTGAATAAATGTTGTCAATTCAAATAGTGACAAATTAACGGTATGAGTAAATTGAAACAACGGGTCTTTGGTCTAATGGTACTCTTTGTCTTGTAAAGACTTTGTCATTTTGAAGTCATTAAAAAAAAAACAAATTAACAACAAAAGTCAATTGAAACAATTTTCATAGTTTAGGGAGCAATTTGTTGAATTTAAAACTAAAGGGAGTTGATTGCAATTTGACTAAAACTTAGAGGGGGTAATTTATAATTAATCTTATTTATAAACTATAATTACTAATTTAATATATATTTTAAAATTAAATAATTTGTCACATAATTATGCATTAAATTTAATTTTTATCAAAGAATGTGTATTTGTAAGTCGCTTTCAAGACTCCCTTGCTCTCAAGTTTTTTTAAAAATTTTATCATTTTTACAGCCTTACTCTTGCTCATCCCTCAACTCTCGCTCTGAGTCATACCTTAAACGTGAAAGCAACCGTACATGTGATTGCAGATGGTCCAACATTAAACCAAGCCTCTATCACTCAGCCAACCATTCAGCAGTTTGACTTTTCTACTGAGAAAAGTTGATTTCCTTATCATATTAAAATATACTTACAATTGATGATTTTAGTTTGAAAATTTTAAAATAATTAGTTTAAAAAAAAATTATACCCACCATATTTTTATTTAATAAAAAATAAAGATATGTTATTAAAAAATTATTTTTTTTGGTGCTATATAGATATATATATATATTCAATACCATTGTTGGACCTATAAATGATATGTTTGCCAAATTTTGATACAAAATTTTATTTCCTAGCACTTTTTTTTTTCCTACAGGGTATCCATATTTACACCGATTACTCCTTTGAATTCGATCCTAGTCTTAAAGATCCAAGTCGGTTTAAGCCAATATGTTGATGCATGATAGAAAAATTAAAATTTTACGGAGTCTGAAAAGTATTGAATTTGGAGACTAAACTTAGACCAATGAACTAAAAATTTACTTCCTAAGAGTTGAGTTGCCTACAACTATTGCTGTATTTGTAGTGGTAGGTGTGCCACATCACCCAAGAAATTTAAATCTAGAATACACTTTTTTTTCTCGAAAGTTTAGAAAATAAATTTTGTTAGCATAGCAAACATAACAAACACTTTGTGGGAAGAAGCCATGCCGATGGATTTCAGCCCATCCAAAATAAAATTCAATTTAAGAAAAATGATCTTAATTTGATCTAAATATTTGAATCTATCGTACAATACGGTCAACAAAAACAACTCAAACATTTAAAATTTAACAAATTAAACCTAAATATTACCTCACTTTCATCAAGTGATTACTAAATTCTATTATATATTTAATACACGCATAAATAACTAAGATCACAATTAGGGTCAAATTTTCGTCTACTTATTCATATTCAACTTACTAAATTCAACTAAAATTCAGATTAAAATTATATGCCTTAACATCCATAAAGTGGGCATTAGTTTTTCACGATTTACATTAGCATTGACTTGAAAAAAAAAAAAACCTTCTTTAGCAGCCGCCAACCATAAGCAAACAAGAAATCATGTTTGGTGTGAAATTTCCTCCAATATATATTTTTTTAATTTTTCTCTTGACGAATCATTTACCTATTTCCCAAAAGATATATATATATATATATATATATATATATATATAATCAAATACTATTATATGCATGTTAAGAATAGAAACTGAAATACACTTACAGTAATACAGAACTACAATAATAATACAAATCTAAAAATTTAGAAATAATAATAATAATTCAAACCCTGTGTAATTACAGTTCTTTCAAACAAAATTACTCTCTCTCAGTACTTAAGGTTGATAAGCAATTGTTTACCTAGATAAAATGAATTTCGTTAATGAACATAACTTTGTATTTTGCACTTGAACTGAACTGAACAATGCAACAATATGCAAACAGATAAAAATATAAGAAATATTGAATACATAATTCAGAATTGGGATAATGGAGAGAATTAGAATGAGGGAGTAATTCTAATAAGAAGTGTCCAATGGTATGATTTGGGAATCATAACTTCGATTGATTTGATTTTTGGATAGTAGAAACTAGACTTCAAGGGTTACAAAAGTGTATTTTACAAAAATTTCCTAAATTTACTTCTAAATATGTGAAAACTACTCATAAAGTTCGGAAAAAAAGTTGGCACCGTTCGAATACCCCTCCCTACCCTAAAAACTTTATTTTTCATCAATGACTTTGAATTGTCCAGACACTCAAGGACCTATTTCGGACTATCCTGAAAATAGCCCCCATCAGTTTTAGGGGTTTTCTCCGTTTTTCATCCTATAAATACTATAAGGACGTCCTTTTAGCTATTTTTCATCAATTTTCAACTCTAGGCAACCTTAGAGAGCAAGGGAAAAGAAGGGAAACACAAGATGGCAGGGATTCTCACGTTGGAACGAATCAAACATGCTAGGTTTACACGCAAACTACGGAGTCAAGGTAGGAGTTTCTTCCTAAACTTGTTCATTGAAACAAGGATTAATATATATCTATGTTTTGATTCTAAATCGTATATATATGTTAT